AGAGCTGAATGATGAACGGATAATGACAATAAATATCATGGGCACATGAACACATGAAGTTGCCTTCTACTGAATCAAACCATTGGTCCATCAAGGTCAGCAGGGCTATTTTTGGGCAGGAACACACAGGAACTGCTAATGAGCTGCACTGTCAGGGGTGTGGCCCAATATGCTAATGAGTTCCTGCTGGGCTTTTTCTACAAAAAAAGCCCTGAAGGTCAGTATCATCTACTCAGACTGGCAGTGGCTCTCCAGGGTCTCAGGGGCAATAACCATTGCGGATGCCATGGTGGCTTTTAGGCAGAGGGACCCTGTGCCAGGAAAGTTATTGGGAGTGTCAGAGTCCCAGTATATTAATCCTTCAAGTGTGGATATGTGAGTGTGTCCTTGGGGGGGGGGGGAACCATAGAAGAAAACCTGGATCCATATGTTGTACTCACATAGCATATTTGTGTATACATCTTCTCAGACTACAGCATTGAATGTTGCCATGTACCTGCACAATGAATAAACCTCCTTTTTCACTTTTGTGTTTTGTCTCTCTGTGTGTTTTATTTATCAGGACTAGTAAGTACACATGTGATGGGGTGAACAGTGCACCCCAGGAATCAATTTCTTATTGTACTGTGGCACCGTCCCATCATTCTTCAGTAGTCTTTGGTTTACTGCCTGATGTCGACAAAGTGCATTGCTTTCTAGATGCCACTCTGTAAACTGAATGATAGAGTAATACTCAGGCACTGCTCCAAACCACCCCCACATTTCTAAGATGATTAATAAAGAAAGAGGGTGGGAGAGCACTCAGATCTATCCCAAAGGAAATGCTTATCAGGCCAACATGCCATGCAAACACCTATACCACATGAAGCGACAGTGTGCAGTTCCCACATCATACACGCTGCAATTTCTAAATGCCTAGAATCCAGGTGTGGCCTCTTCTATAAACACAGGACACTTCAAAAACCTCATGCACACATAGTATAAAACTGGTTCTGAAATTAAAAGTCACTGCTGAAATTCAAAGCAAACTTGGGGGTTCCTCTTCAGCTAAGCAAACTGAGGAATGCTGAGGGAATCAAAAAGAGCTTCGAATACATTAAGTTGCTTTGTCAG